TTTTTTTTTGGCAAACCTGCCCCGGCCCGTTCCCTCGGCTCCCAGCGGGGCCATGTGTGCTGTGTTTGTACACAGATGAGTAATCCGGGCGCCCGGAGCCAGCCCCGCCGATAACGCAGCATCCGACCCAGCCCCGCAACCGGGAGCAGCCCCGTAAGTACCGGCCGCTCTGCTTTTTCTCTCTCCCCCCTCACCATAACCCCCCCCGCCCCTCCAGCCCCTCGCTTTGGGGATGCCGGGGGTCTGCACGGCGTGAGCTCCCCCGTGGAGTTTTATTTTTGGATGTGTCCTGAAAAGAAGAAGGTGGGAAAGAGCCGCGTGGGACGGGGAGGGGGCAGTGGGGCCGGCAGGACATTCCTTTTCCCTGCCCTTTTTTTTTTTTCCCTGCCTTTTTCTTTTTTTCCCTGCCCTTTTTTTTTCCCCTGCCCTCTTCCCTGCCCTTTTCCTTGCCCTTTTCCCTGCCCTCCCACAGCTCCAACATTTTTTTTTTCCCTGCCCTTTTTTTTTTCCCTGCCCTTTTTTTTTCCCCCTGCCCTCTTCCCTGCCCTTTTCCTTGCAAGTTTTTTTTTTGGCCGTGTCCTGAAAAGAAGAAGGTGGGGAAGAGCCGTGTGGGACGGGGAGGGGGCAGTGGGGCCGGCAGGACATTCCTTTTCCCTGCCTTTTTTTTTTCCCTGCCCTTTTTTTTTTCCCTGCCCTTTTTTTTTCCCCCTGCCCTCTTCCCTGCCCTTTTCCTTGCCCTTTTCCCTGCCCTCCCACAGCTCCAGCAGCTCGAGCCCACGCTGATGCTTTTGCAGGATTTAGGGAAATTCCCCTCGGCAGCGTTTTAGGAGCGGGATGGGGCGCGGGGACACGCTGTCCCCCCCTCGAGGAGGAGGAGGAAGAGGAGGGATGAAGGCTCCGGGTCTGGCAAAGGGCTCCAGCACGTGCCTGAGACGCACTGGGTTTTTTTGGAAAGCCTTGAGCTTCTGCGTATGCTCGGGGCTGCCTCCGGGCTCCCCAGCACGTCCCAGCAGCACCAGCAGCCTCCCCACAAACCTCCCTCTGTTCTGCTGGAAAAGGGCTTGGCGTGTCCCGTGCTGCTGAGCCCGGCTCCCAGTGCTCCCAGCAGCACGGCCCCCCCATCTCCCAGCCCAGCCCGGCTCTCTCCAGGCCCTGCCGTAAGAAAAGTCATAAAAGTTAATGATTGAACAGCTAAAATACTTTTTTCCCCTCCATCAAAAGCCAAGGGCTGCTGGTGGGGGGGCTGGTCCCTTGGGAGAGGGGCTGCAGCCCCCCTGGTTGGGGCCAGGTCCGAGGGGGGGTGACAAGGGACATGTCAGGGGACAAACCCCAGCCTTGGAGGGAGAAAGCTGGTACCAGGCAGGAACCTTCCCCGGGGGGAGCACAAAGCAAAGGCTCCCAGCCTGGATCTGTGCCCGACATCCCCACGGGGGCTCCTGCGTGGCCGTGGGGGGAGGAGGATGATGAGGAGGAGGAAGAAAAGGAGGAAGAGGTGTGTTTGCAGCCAGCTGGGTGAGCCTGGGGAGTTTGTCCCTCCGCTGGTTGCAAAGGAGCTGTTCTAGCAGAGGGTCCCCCTGTGCCCCCCCCTGCCCCCCCCATCCCCGGGTGGAAAAAATCAGCCGAAGGAGCAGGAAAACACGGGACCGCAGGGTGTGCCCGGGCTGCTCTGCTCCCCGCAGCTCCGGTGACTCATTTGCCTCTTAAAAACACAAGTTCTTGGTGAAGCCTGGGCCCGGTGCTTCCCACCTCCCCCCCCTGGAGCCAGCCCGGGTTTTTGGGGGGGGCGCAAGGACCGGGGTTTGCCCGGGCTGGACCCGCTCTCACCCGGGTCAGGGCTATCGGCCACGGGTCCTGTGCCAACCCGGGGCTTTGTGAGGAGCTGCTGCGGCTGCACCCACATCAGAGACAGTAGTTTTTGTTCTCTCCCACCATCTCCCTCATTTGTGTTTGTATCAGAGGTGCGGCCGGGGGGGGCAAAGGCAGAGCTCTGTGCCCGCCTGCCCTTTATTCCTGGGCATGCAAATAGCCAAGGGCAGCTCCCTCTCCCTGCCTTCTCTCCCTGATTTCACTCCCTGTCTTCACTCCCAGCCTCCTCTCCCTGCCTTCTCCCCCTGATTTCATTCCCTGCCTTCTCTCCCTGCCTTCTCCCTCTGCCTTCTCTCCCTGATTTCACTCCCTGCCTTCTCCCCCTGCCTTCTCCCTCTGCATTTTCCCCCTGATTTCACTCCCAGCCCTCTCCCCCTGCCTTCCTTCTCCCTGCCTTCCTTCTCCCTGCCTTCCTTCTCTTCACTCCCAGCCTCCTCTCCCTGCCTTCTCCCCCTGATTTCATTCCCTGCCTTCTCTCCCTGCCTTCTCCCTCTGCCTTCTCTCCCTGCCTTCCTTCTCCCCCTGCCTTCTCCCCGATTTCACTCCCTGCCTTCACTCCCAGCCCTCTCTCCCTGCCTTCTCTCCCTGATTTCACTCCCTGCCTTCTTTCCCTTCTTCTCCTCCTGATTTCACTCCCTGATTTCACTCCCAGCCCTCTCTCCCTGATTTCACTCCCAGCCCTCTCTCCCTACCTTCTCTCCTTGCCTTCTCCCCCTGATTTCACTCCCTGCCCTCTCTCCCTGCCTGCCTTCTCCCTGCCTGCCTTCTCCCTCTGCCTTCTCTCCCTGATTTCACTCCCTGCCTTCTCCCTCTGCCTTATCCCCCTGATTTCACTCCCTGTCCTCACTCTCTGCCTTCTCTCTCTGCCTTCTCTCTCTGCCTTCTCTCCCTGATTTCTCTCCCTGCCTTTTCTCCCTGCCTTCCTTCTCCCCCTGCCTTCTCTCTCTGCCTTCTCCCCCTAATTTCACTCCCTGCCTTCTCCCCCTGCCTTCTCCCCCTGCCTTCTCCCCCTGCCTTCTCCCCCTGATTTCATTCCCTGCCTTCTCCCCCTGCCTTCATTCCCTGCCTTCATTCCCTGCCTTCATTCCCTGCCTTCTCCCTCTGCCTTCTCCCTCTGCCTTCTCCCTCTGCCTTCTCCCCCTGTCCTCACTCCCTGCCCTCTTTCCCTGCCTTCACTCCCTGCCTTCACTCCCTGCCTTCTCCCTCTGCATTTTCCCCCTGATTTCACTCCCAGCCCTCTCCCCCTGCCTTCCTTCTCCCTGCCTTCCTTCTCCCTGCCTTCCTTCTCCCTGCCTTCCTTCTCCCTGCCTTCCTTCTCCCTGCCTTCCTTCTCCCCCTGCCTTCTCCCCGATTTCACTCCCTGCCTTCACTCCCAGCCCTCTCTCCCTGCCTTCTCTCCCTGATTTCACTCCCTGCCTTCTTTCCCTTCTTCTCCTCCTGATTTCACTCCCTGATTTCACTCCCAGCCCTCTCTCCCTGATTTCACTCCCAGCCCTCTCTCCCTACCTTCTCTCCTTGCCTTCTCCCCCTGATTTCACTCCCTGCCCTCTCTCCCTGCCTGCCTTCTCCCTGCCTGCCTTCTCCCTCTGCCTTCTCTCCCTGATTTCACTCCCTGCCTTCTCCCTCTGCCTTATCCCCCTGATTTCACTCCCTGTCCTCACTCTCTGCCTTCTCTCTCTGCCTTCTCTCTCTGCCTTCTCTCCCTGATTTCTCTCCCTGCCTTTTCTCCCTGCCTTCCTTCTCCCCCTGCCTTCTCTCTCTGCCTTCTCCCCCTGATTTCACTCCCTGTCCTCACTCCCTGCCTTCTTTCCCTGCCTTCTCCCCCTGATTTCACTCCCTGCCCTCCAGCCGGATCCCAAGGCTCCAGAGGCCACCACAGGGCTCAGGACCCCTTTTCCCCACAGCACAGAGACTCCGAGGGGATGGGGCTGGGGGGGGCTCCATCCTCTGCGTAGCCCAACAGCCAAAAAAAAAAAAAAAAGCTCCCGATTTAAGTCTAATCTTTAACTAAAGGCATTTCCAATTTTATTTTATGCCGGGTTTATTGCTCTCCTGCCTCGTTAATTTTTTCCCTCCTGCTCAGCGCCTCCAGCCAGCTCCCCCTCCCCGGGCACTCCCCACACGCTGTTTGTCCCCAGTGGGTTTGCACCGGAGCCGCTCGGCCGCCCCGAGAGGTAGAGTACGGGCAGGGAGGAAGAGCAGGGGAAGACAAAGGCTGATGCCAGGGCCGGGAAAGGGCAGAGAAGGGGTTTATTTGGGACTGGTGAGTCACGGATGGAGCTCGGTGTGTCCTCGTGTGAGGCTGTGGGACGGTGAGGACAACCCAAATGCCCCGGCAGGAGCAGCAAAGGGGAGCCCATCCCACAAGCTGAGAGTCAGGCTCCCTTCTTGCCCCAGTGGTCCCTTGCGGGAGGGTGCAGGAGATGCTAATTCCTTTTTTCTCCCCTTTATTTCGCAGAGCAGAGGTGGAGACGGACGGGGAGAGGCTGCCGAAGGCACCAGCGGGTGAGAGATGGAGACACCGGGGATGGGAGGGCTGCACCGCGGCGCTGGGTGGAGGGGAACCAGCCCCTGAGTCCTCCCCACTCACCAGAGGGGACCTGCCTGCACCCCACGGACCCCCAGCCCCTGCCCAGGGCTTTCTGTGTGACCTTGAGGTGCTCCGGGGACATGGGTGCTCTTCCTGCATCACCCCTGGCTCCGTTGGGGTGACAACAGGGAGTTTCAGTCCCTCGGGGTGGTGGGCACAGGGATGTGCTCTCCTTCTCCCCCTGCCCCTTTCGGGTACGAGTGGTGGGGAGGGACCCCAACATCTCCTGCGGGGATGGATGAGGTCTCCCCCCCCCATGCCATGGGAGCCCCCCCAGGAAGCATTTGCCACACGTGGGTTTGGGACCCCCCATGGGGACACATCCCCACGAATGCTTGTCTCCCCCCCAGGCCACCCCTCCTGAGCCCCAGGAGCGTCCCTTCAGCCACCACGGGGCAGCCCCATCCCTGTCCCATCGCAGGGATGTGGCCAGACGGGGTGTGAGGAGCCGTGGGGCTGGTCCCCAGGGAAGCTGAGCCCAAAACATCCCTCGGAGCCGGAGCCCCGACCGCACGATGCTGAGCCTGAAGTTACCCCGTGGCCACCACGGGGCAGCCCCATCCCCGTCCCATCGCTTGCCCAGTGGGGATGTGGCCAGACGGGGTGTGAGGAGCCGTGGGGCTGGTCCCCAGGGAAGCTGAGCCCAAAACATCCCTCGGAGCCGGAGCCCCGACCGCACGATGCTGAGCCTGAAGTTACCCCGGCTGCTCAGCGTCCACCAGGTGCCCAAGGTCAGAGAAGAGCTTTTCTTCCCTAAACCCCGAGGTTTGGTGGGGTTTTGGGAGGTGAGAAGTGGGAGCAGCATGCTGGGGTGGCCATGACCCCCCCCCAGGACAGGGCTCAGCCCCTTCCTGGGGCCACCTCCCACCGTGGGGACACAGCTCTGTCCTAACTGCAGGGTCTTGGGTCCTGAATCATGGGCACCCTCCTTTTGGCAACCTTCCTTCTTTCTCCTCTGATTTGTCCTTCTTTCTCCTCTGATTTGTCCTTCTTTCTCCTCTGATTTGTCCTTCCTTCTCCTCTGATTTGTCCTTCCTTCTCCAATTTCTCCTTCCTTCTCCTCCGGCTGCCCCTGGTGCCAGTCCTTGCCTTGCAGGGGTACCAGGAGCAGGGGATCCTCTTTGGGTACCGTCCCCCCCGAAGCTCGGCAGCAGATTGTCTCCTCAGCGTCTTCCAAATGACCAACGAGACGCTGAATATCTGGACACATTTTGTGCCTGCCTGGTAGGTACCATGTCCTGGGGCTTCAGCATCCCTGGTGGGTCCCCATGGTGGGAGCAAGGCTTGGGGAGCAGGGATGGGGGACACCCAGGGGTGCGATGCCGACCTTCCTCCACCCCACAGGTACTTCGTGTGGACCCTGGTGGGGCGGCTGCGGGGGCCGGGGGGCCCAGAGGACCCCCATGCCTGGCCCCTCCTGGCCTACCTGCTGACCTGCTGCATCTACCCCCTGGCCTCCAGCTGCGCCCACACCTTCAGCACCATGTCCACCCGCGCCCGCCACATCTGCTACTTCTTCGACTACGCGGCCCTCAGCATGTACAGCTTGGGTGAGGGCATCTGCAGAGGTCTCGGTCCCCAGCACTTCCCCCTGAACCACGAGGAGGCATTAGGGACGGGGCTGAAGGATTTCTGCAAGCCCTGAGTCTTGGCCAGACAGTGGCTTGTCCCCCTGGCCACCCCTGGGGTGACATAAGTAGTGGCCCTGAGGGCACCACAATGTTCTCCACAGCCCTGCACCAGCCAAGTTGAGGGTGGGAGATGCCCACAGTGAAGGGTGCAGGTGGCATCATAGACTGGTTTGGGTTGGAAGGGACCTTAAAGCCCCCCCAGTGCCACCCCCTGCCCTGGGCAGGGACACCTCCCACCAGCCCAGGTTACTCCAAGCCCGCTCCAACCTGGTCTTGGGTGCTCAGATGGCTCGTGCCCAGGGGACAAGCAGAAATCTTGCGTGTAGTTTCTCCTGCTGCTCCTCCCCACAGCCTGGCACTTGAGAGGGACCAGGAAGCGTCTTTGCCACCACCACAAACAGTAATTTGGGGCTGGGTTTCGTACCGGGCAGCCCTGGGAGGGAGGCCTGGATTGTGTGACACTCTTTGGTATTTGTAGTCAATAGAATAAGAAAAAAGATGAATGCTGTCAGTGAAGCGGGTGGCACCTTGTTGGAGTGCCAGGAGCCAGGGTCTTCTGGTGGCACAAAACACCTCCAGCTCCTCATGGAGCAACACCTGCAGGAGCTGGTACCGGGGTGTCTGCCTGATGCTCCCCTTAGGTATTTGCCCCATCCCTGGAGGGGTTCAAGGCCAGGTTGGAGGGGGCTTGGAGCAACCTGGGCTGGTGGGAGGTGTCCCTGCCCAGGGCAGGGGGTTGGAACCAGATGATGTTTAAGATCTCTTCCAACTCTAACCACTCTGTGATTCCATGATTACCCTCCTCCACTACCTTAACTCACATCTCCCTTTCCCGAGAGTGCCCTGTGCCCACGTGAAGGTTCAGAGCTGCCCCCCTGGAGGATGATGAGGGTCCTGGTGGGACCTGGCACTAACTGGGCACCCTCTGCCTTCCCAGGGTCGGCGCTGGCGTACTCGGCCTACGTTTTCCCAGCGGATTGGGTCAACAGCACCTTCCACCACTGCTACGTCCCCATCGCCCTCTGTAACACCCTCGTCAGCACCGGTCTGTCCTGCTATTCCAGGTGAGCTGCTGCTCCCTCTGCCCTGATTGCTACGGCGTAATCGTTAATTAGTATTATTAATACAGCTTTTTAATCCCAGGCTGTGTTATAACAACGTGAGCCTTGAGCTCAGGAAGAGGAAGGGCTTTTTGTTTGGGAACCGCGTTGCCTGTTGGCAGCAGCAGAGTTTGGTGATCAAAAATGCAAAACAAATGACTTTTAGCTTTAATTTTCGGAAGTTGAGAAGGTAATTTCACAGGGTTTGTGCCCGGCAGGAGGACATCCCCCCCCACCACCACCCTCTGCTTTGGGCTGTTGCTTTTCTAATGTGACGTGCAAAAAGTTGGGGGGGCTCCTGTGTCCCCCACCTCTGGAAAAGGTGTTTAGGTTTGGACAGGAGCGTGGTCCTGCCAAAGGCACGTGTCAGCCCACGTGTGTTTGTGTGTGTTTGTGTGTGTTTGTGCTTTTCTAATGTGACGTGCAAAAAGTTGGGGGGGCTCCTGTGTCCCCCACCTCTGGAAAAGGTGTTTAGGTTTGGACAGGAGCGTGGTCCTGCCAAAGGCACGTGTCAGCCCACGTGTGTTTGTGTGTGTTTGTGTGTGTTTGTGTGTGTTTGTGTGTGTTTGTGTGTGTGTGTCACACACTCACAGAGGAGGAACCTCAGCGTTCCTGCAGCCGGTTGCGCCATTTGCGAGCAGCGCTGCGTGCGTGGTGTTCTGTTCCTGGCTGGCCTTAGCCAATTTGTTTGGAATAACTCAAGAATCCAACCTACCCGGCTGATTTCCAGCGATACAGAGAGGTTTTTATTTGATTCATGGCAGGTCCCCCCCCTCCCCCAAAAGGCTGTGTTTGCAGAGCGCTCGTGCCTGTCGCTGCCACGGCACGCGGTGGGTTGTGCAACGTGTACAGCTCCTCTGCTTCACAAGGATATGAATCATTTGGGCATTTTTTTTCCTTATATTTTGGGGGGTTCTTTGCTTTTTGGACCTATTCTTGGTGTTACTGAGCCGTACAGCAAAATCAAGGATCTCTCTTGGATGGCTCTGTGGATAGTGCCAGCTGGGGCTTGGTATTTTTTTCCTTATATTCCTCATTTCTTCCTCTTTTTTTCTTTTTTTTGTCTCTTTCCCCCTGCTAGTTTCTGCCCTGTGCACCTCTGATGTCTCATTAGATGGGCTTAGAAAACAAAGCTCCCTGCCTGTGTGCTAATCCTAGTACTTACCACCTGAAGATAACGCTTAGGAAGCATCAGCAGCTTGGGATCAGTTCCAGATTAATTTGGGTGGTTTAAACAAAAGAATTCTTGATGTGCAAATTTAATTGCCAGCCTCTCTCTTGCCCACACCTGTAAGTGCAGTCGTGTGAGAACCATCCCAGCGCCACGTGGTAGAACAGCAGTTCCTGCTGTCTGGGCAATTGACAGTAGAGAAGTAGCACATCCATTGACTGTCAGTTTAAAAATAATAAAAAATAAACAGAAGGCCCCTGGGTGAGGAGGGAAACTGGACACACCGTACCAGTGGGGGCCAGCAATGCTGGTTTGCCCCCATGGTGGTGAATGGAGCCCCCCTCATTCACCACTACACCCCAAGCACACCAGGTCAGGGCTGGGGACCACGTTAGCCATGGGGCTACCAGCATCCCCGTGCCCCTCTGCGTACGTGTGAGCATCCCAGCCACGTGTGTGACCCCTGGCCGTGCCCCCAGTCCCCCATCTCTCTCCTCTTGCAGGGTGGTGGGGCTGCAGAGAACAAGGGGGCATGGTTTTGTGCCCACCTCGCACCCCCCTGGGTGCCCAAGCCACAGCTGGTGGGTTGGGGACAGGGAAGTGGTCAAGCTGGCCACCCCAGAGACCCCATGAGGCCACCAGCACCTGCTGGTGCTGCTCACCCATGGCATTCCCTTCAGTGTCACCCTTGGCTGAGTCACACCATCCAAAATGTCCATCCGAGGTGGGGATGTTGGACGGGAGGGGACCCGAAACCGAATTGTGCAATGGGCGGTGATGGCAGGGAGCTGGGAGCACTGGGAGGGGACCTGCCCGGGCACTGCTGGTCCTGCCCAGCTCCCCAGGGCTCAGCAATGCTGTTGGGGTGGTTCCACCACCCGCACCCTGGGCAGGGCTGGCTCCAGGAGCCGGGGGGGGGGGGCGGGGGGGCCCAGAGCACTGGGAGGGGACCTGCCCGGGCACTGCTGGTCCTGCCCAGCTCCCCAGGGCTCAGCAATGCTGTTGGGGTGGTTCCACCACCCGCACCCTGGGCAGGGCTGGCTCCAGGAGCCGGGGGGGGGGGTCGGTGGGACCCAGGTCACTCCCCATTTTGGAGCATTTCACGCTTAAACTGCCAGCCCTGGGCTACCTGAACCTGGCTGGGCTTCTACACAGTGGCCAAGGGCAGCCTCTTGGTGTGCCCCCATGAAGGAGGGGTCACTGAGGAGGAGGATGCAGCCAGGGGGGGAAGGCAGGGACTTGCAGTGGGGTTATCTGAAGAAAGGCATTTTGCTAAGCTACTGCGCCAGATTTTATCAGATTCCCAGGAAAATTCTCCGGTCCTAGATGGCTGCTTCATGAGTCAACTGTAAGATTTTTGTTTGGTTGGGTTTTTGCATCCTTTGGCCCAGGAAGGTTGAATTGCCACACAGGGAAACGTGCAGATGGGCTGTAATCATAGAATCATAGACTGGTTTGGGTGGAAAGGGACCTTAAAGCCCCCCCAGTGCCACCCCCTGCCCTGGGCAGGGACACCTCCCACCACACCAGGTTGCTCCAAGCACCCCCTCCAACCTGCCCTTGAACCCCTCCAGGGATGGGGCAGCCACAGCTTCTCTGGCCAACCTGGGCCAGGCTCTCACCACCCTCACACCAAACAAGTTCTTCCTGAGATCTCCCCTCTTTCAGTTTGAAGGTCCTTGTAAAAAGAAATGCATGTGTTTATCCTGTATTTGCTGCTCGATACCTCTCTCTGTGTCCCCCTGCCCTGCTGCAGGATGAGCAGCCGAACAAAAGGTTTCTTTCACGCTGGAGGATTTGGTGTCTCCCTGCAGAAATCCTCCAGGAAAGCAGAAAAACCTGTATGGGCTTTTCCTTCACAAGGAGAAGGGAGGACACGTAGACTCTGCTGCTCCATCTCACACTGTCCCCTGTGAATGGGGCACTGCCCTTGGGGTTCCTGTGGGCCCAGACTCGATTTTGGCAACAGGTTGGGTGGGCACATTGCTGAAGGTGAGGGAAGGTGCGTGGCAAGGGTGAGAGCAGGATGGGAGTCCAGCACCGGCACGGTGGGAAAACACAGCAGGAATCATGCAGAAATGCAGGAGAAAGCAGTGCAGGAGGCACCTTCACCACCATCAGGATGTCTTCTGGGCAAGCCACAAGCTCGGTGGAAGGTCGAACAGAGGAGGAGCAAGATGAAAGCCCATAGGCAGTTGTGGCTCTTGAGCACCAGTTGAATTATTGGGGTTTCAACCCACATTTTGGGCCGTGTTGACAGAGCCCTTCTGCTTTGCAGGCAGGTCTGTTGTAATTCCGCTCAAGTTCATCTCCCCATTTCCATGTTGGGCTAAAACCCTGTAAAAGCTGGTTTTTCCCAGCACGGGTGGATGTTTTCTGTTCCTGGGCTGGAGCTGCTGTGGTTGGGCAGGGTGATGGGCTCCTTGCTGGAGCCCTCCCGTGGTGGGGAGCATCCTGATGCCCCTCCTGCTTCTCTGAGGCTCCCCTGGGCTTTCCATCTCCAGGTTTCATTCGAGTTGTGTTCCCCAGGTGGCAGGAGCGGGCTCAGGGCTTGTGACCCAGCTCCAGGTTTTACAATGGGTTTTTTTGGGGACCTGGGTGGTCAATCATTTTGTGATTTCAGCTGTGAAGTTTGTCTTACATTTCAGCAGCGTGATTTCCTGGGGAACAAAATGCAGGCTGTTATTCTCTGTCCAGCCAAACTCTTTCCTCCTGGTACACGACATGGTTCTAACGACCAGGCTGCTTCTGCCATTATAACGGGGGTGTCATTAAAGAGTAACTTGTTTAACTACTTTAGTTTGTGATTTCAGTAACTCTCTCCGTGTGTCCTCTGAGAGGACGATCGCAAAGTCCTGGGGGGTGTAAAACAGAGCCTCACGCGTTGCAGGCACAAGCTGCAACACAGCTTAATTAACAAAGAGTAGCAATCACAGCCTGCACGCAGCGGTACCCACAGAGCCTTCCAAACCCAGGCAGATGTATTTTCCTTGATTGCGGTGCTCAGAAAGCTGGGATTCCGAACCAAGAGTGAAAAATTCAGTATAAAAAACAACCACAGGGAGGGACAGCAGCTGTTTAAGGACCCGGCTGCTGATGGGCAACGGTTAATGAGCAACGGCAGAAGAAGCAAAAGCCAGGATGGTGTAAAAAAAGGTCATTTTCAGAGCTGCACCTGTGAGATCCAGAGTGTAGACAGGGGAGGGGGGACCCCTAAATCCTTCCTCCCCCAGCTCAGGGCTCAGCCAGGGAAGGTTGGGCCAGGCTTTGCTGAGGGTGGGCACAGCGTTAATGGCACCGGCAGCCAAACCCCCGCGGGTGGGGGGATGCAGGTGGGGTCCACGCGCTGCGGTTGAGGTGAAACGTCTTCTCTCTTCTCCTCGAGGTTCCTGGAGGTGGAGCAGCCCCGGTTCAGCAAGGCGTCCCGCACCCTGGCCTTCGTCTACCCCTACCTCTTCGACAGCATCCCTCTCTTCTACAGGGTATGCTCCCACCACGGCGCTCACTCGCTGCAGGGCTGGAAACATCAGCTGCTTCACCTCAGCCTGAAAATATTTGGGAAAATATGCCAGCCTTTTATTATTTATTTTTTTTTAAAAGAAAAACAAATTGTGGCAGGAAAAGAGATTTGGTTATTTTTTCCTGCACCTATTGATAGGCGGGTTCCTCCCACTTCAAAGCGCCGAGCTCAAACTCTGCCCGGGGCTGGAAAGTTACTGCCTTTGCAAGCTCCAAGTTTTCCAGTTCCTAAACCAGAGCTGGGTGGGAATTCTGCTGCGGGGAGGTCTAAGGACAGGAGGCTCGGGGCTGGGATTTGCAGGAAACGGAGGCGACAGCCCTTGTGCCCTTTGCCTGGCAGAAAAGGACCTGGGGGTGTTGGTGGCCTGTGGGCTGACCATGAGCCAGCAGTGTGCCCAGGTGGCCAAGAAAGCCAACAGCATCCTGGCCTGTGTCAGGAACAGTGTGGGGAGTAGGGCCTGAGAGGTGATCATCCCCCTGTACTGGGCACTGGTGAGGCCTCACCTTGAGTACTGTGTCCAGTTTTGGGCCCCCTACCATAAAAAAGACATGGAGGTGCTGGAGCGGGTCCAGAGAAGGGCGACAAAGATGGTGAGGGGTCTGGAGCACAAGTCTTGTGAGGAGAGGCTGAGGGAGCTGGGGGTGTTCAGCCTGGAGAAGAGGAGGCTGAGGGGAGACCTTATTGCTCTCTCCAACTCCCTGAAAGGAGGGTGTAGAGAGGTGGGGGTCGGTCTCTTCTCTCAAGTCACAGGCGACAGGACAAGAGGAAATGGCCTCAAGTTACACCAGGGGAGGTTCAGGCTGGATATTAGGAAAAATTTTTTCACTGAAAGGGTTCTCAGGCATTGGAATGGGCTGCCCAGGGAGGGGGTTGAGGCACCATCCCTGGAGGTGTTCAAAAGACGGGTTGATGTAGTGCTGGGAGGTCTGGTTTAGTGATGGTGATGCTCCTTGTTTGTTGTGTGGGTGACTATTTTTGTCAGTCAGGTTGATGGTTGGACGAGATGATCTTTAAGGTCCCTTCCAACCTAGAAGATTCTGTGATTCTGTGTTGAGCCCCGTTGTTGGGTGAGGGGCAGCCGGGGGCGGTGGGGGCTCAGGAAATGGGGCTGTCTCCTGTAGAAATGTCTTTCTCCTCTTTCCCTCGCCCGGTTCCCCCCGGTGGATCCCTCTCTGTGGCTGTAGTTCTACCTGTGCGCGACGGAGAGCTGCACGGAGCCCGCCATCCTGGTCCACTACAAGCACACGGTCTTCGCCTTCCTCACCTGCTTCATCTTCGCCAGCCACCTGCCCGAGAGACTGGCCCCAGGGCACTTTGACTACATCGGTGAGTGCCAGAAGAGCTGGCGTTGCTTCCTCGTTATTTTCAGGCACATTAATCCAGGAGGGACTCCCAGAGGTTGCAATCTATTCCCTGCTGGAAATTGGAAATGGGGTTTGCCATCCGAGATGCAGCAGTGAAGTGGGAACGTGCTGGTTCCAAAATGTGTCTCAAAGGGTTTCATGACCGCAAACACTCATTTCTCAGGTGAAAAACTCTCAGCTGTGCACAGGGGAGTGTCACGGTGCCAGGTGAAGGGTCCTGTGCTGGGGTCACACCAACCCCATGGACACTCCAGGCTTGGGCAAGAGTGGCTGGAGCTGCCCAGTGCAGAAGGACCTGGGGTTGGTGGTCACAGCTGGGTGAATAGGAGCCAGCAGAGTACCCAGGTGGCCAAGAAGGCCACCAGCATCCTGGCCTGTGACTGGGTGGCCATCGTGGCCATGGTGGGGTGTTCCCCATCCCCCCCATCACACCGTGCACAAGCACAGGGCTTCTCAGCCCCTCCTGTGCCACCGCTGCAGCCACCAGCGGCACCTCCCTCGCTGCCAGCACATTTTGGAGAGGAAGGTCTCTGTGCTCTGGTGGTGCAATCATAAAAGCCACAGAAATTAGGAGAATAACTATTTAAAAATGTGATGGCAGAAGGTCTGCTGAGCCCTCACGGCGGTGTTTGAGTGAAGTCTGAGGAATTTCTTGGTGTTATGGTTTGAGAAACCCACAATAATTTATTATCGTTTGGACAATTCTATCACCCGGTGACCTGGGAAGGGGAATCGGAGGAAAACCAAGGAAACCTGAGGGCTGACGTAACAATAGATTTAGTAGAATAACACTAATTAATTAACATTAATAGCACTAAAGAACCATTATGGATCCCCATACCAATATCAAATACACAAGGATCATACCCAGCCCTTTCCCCCAGCAGGAAGCTGGTCCCTCCCTGCAGGGACAGCCAATGTGGGATCCTGCGAGTGCTTCAGGAGGGAGGGAAGGGCTCAGGGCTCTGGCATCAGGGCAAGGAGTTCTCAGGGGGGCAGCCATCGAGGGAAAGAGAGAGAGAGGGAGAACTCCTCAGAGAACTTTCTAATTTATACTGAATGTGCCGTTCATGGTATGAAATACCCCTGTTGGCAGTTTATCTTGAATGTGCCATTCATGGTATGAAATACCCCTGGGTCAAGTGCCCGGGTCTTGCCCCTCCTCGTCCCTGCACCTGGGGAGGGCAAAACCACTGAGCTGGGTCTTGCCCCTCCTCGCCCCTGCACCTGGGGAGGGCAAAACCACTGAGACCTTGAAACCCACACCCCAGAGCTGGCTGTAAAGAAACTATTTTCACCATTTCAGACACTGGAGTCTTCTAAAAGTGCTGTTTTCCCAAGCGCTAGAGGAGGAATCAGTCGCTCAGAGCAGGACACTTTCTTTTGGCTCTGTTGCAGGGCACAGCCACCAAGTTTTCCATGTCTGCGGGATCCTCGGCACGCACTTCCAGATGGAAGCCATCATGATGGACATGGCCCAGGGCCACCACCGGCTCCCACCCTCCTCCCTGCAGACCCTGGGCTCCATGGGCATCTGCGTGGCCGTGAGCCTGGCTGTCATCGGGCTCTGCTCCTCCTCCCTGCGCTTCATGCCAGAGCCTCTCCAGAGGGAAAAACCACACGGGCATTAGGCTTCACGTCTCCGTGGTGTTTCTGCTGCTCCCCAGGAGAGACCCTGAGCACCACCTCTATGGTAGGGCACGAGGAGGGAGAGACCCTCAACACCACCTCTACGGTAGGGCACAAGGAGGAGTTTATTTGCCTTCGCTCTCTGAGAAAATGTTTATTTAAAATTTCCTCGAGAGCAAAAAAAAAAAACATATTGCACTGGTTTTTGTACATATAGCTTTAAAGCTGGGAGCAATTATGCAAATGCTTTTAATCAAGTTGCTATTTCACCACAAGAAATTATTTAAAATAATCTTTTTTTTTTTTCTCCTGTGAAGGGGAGATAAGTGCTAATACTTTTCCAAAGCAATAGGCATTCATCAGGTCTGCCTTACGGAGGAATTGGGGGGCAAGTGAATGTAGGTAAAGCTGGTCATCTGGTGACATGGACGTCCTTGTCATCAGTGTAGACCAACAGCCAAGACTCCTTGGCAAAGGCACGAGCAAGGGCTCACCCAGGAGCTCCCTAACCGAGGTTTGCACCTTAAAAGTGGCATTCTTTTGGAGATTAAAACCTCAAATATCCCTGTTACACAGCCTTACGTGACACCCAAGTGCCTGACAGATGTGGGATTCAGAGAGACTAGAGTTTGCCTACGTTTTAAATTCAGCAATTTTTAATCATGACCTGAAAAGAGTTATTCTAGAACTCTTCACGGGGCATTCCTCCAGAATAGCTTTATTTTGGGTCCAATTCCGGTGCATAGGTAAGTCCTGGGAAATTAATTCTGACGGGAGAGGTGAGCTCGAGGTGAGAGATGAGGAGGAGATTCCTTAGAAGCGCTGTTTTGTACCGAGTGTTTAACACTCAAAGTTGTCTGGGGGCAGCTGTGCTGTCCAGAAAAAAGGTGTTTGACACCTTGTGGAGGGCACTGAGAAAGTCACCAGTCCAGGAGTCACTTCCCGGGGGCTACTGGAGGTGAGATACAGGGCTAGACAGAAGGTGTGAGGGTGGTAGAGCCATCACCTCCAAACTGCCCTCGTTTCTGGTCCCTCTTGCAGAGAAGAACGTTTTTCTTTTCATGAGTGAAGAGGATGGGGGTGTCTGGGGGGAATAAAACAGCAGCTGAGCAAGAAGCGGGAGTGTGTGCAGAGCAGAGAGACGAGCGTTGTCAGATGAGAGGCAGGAGTTGGAAGAGCTCAGAGGGTAATGCACTGGGAGGGGTCAAACTCTCTAATTTTAAAGCCTTTCCAGAGTTAGAGCTCTGCTCACCCAGCAATAGCCACGTGCTCCGGCTCTTCCTCCTTGTCCTTTGCTGCTGCACCTGGATTTCATGGGCAGAAGCAGAGAGTCCTGGTCCGGGCGAGGGGGACGCAGCCCACAGGGACTGGTGGCTCCAGTGGCTGGGGGTGGCTCCAGCCACGGGACCTAAAGCCACCCAGGAACACACGATGCAAAGATTACTGCGAGGGAATATTATCAAGCTCGATAATCATACGGGTGTCTCATTCGTTTTTTGCATATAATTACCTCTATCAAGGTATAATTGATGCACTTTTGAGTGACAATACAACGGCTCGTTAAATATCTTACGGGACAAATAAGTCTTTTTGAAAAATAGCTTTCTTTTGAAAGCTGACCAAGATTTATATTAATATTTATAAGCACTGGAACATAATTGTTTATTCAACAGTTTTATTTCATTAAAAGAGAAAACTAATATAAGTATCGCACTGATATATGCTAACCTGATGTGTATAGTTTCATGAAAACACTGTCTGGGAAAATTAATCACTTCAGAGATAATTGCTGATAATTGCAAAGCTTATTTACCTTGTGTACTTGTGTGACCGGAAAGGAATCTGGCTGTGCCTGCGAGACGTGATTTAAGAGTCTGTAAAACCTACATGAATCATTATACAATTTTTTTCTTGGTGGTTTAACTTTTGAATTTAGAAAGTCCTTCCGTCCTCTTCAGGTGAAACCATTTGTAGGAACACTACATAAAAAATGTCACACCGTATTACACGCTGCCATAATCCCTCCAGATCCTGCAGTGCTTTGCACGGACCCTTGGTTGGGCACATACTTTACACACTGAACAAGCAAACGTTTGATGTAGAAGCGGCACAGGTTGGCCAGATTCCTCCTTCAGCTGGAGACAGGCCTTCAAAAATCTGTTCAATGTACTAAATTCTATTCACAGAAAGAAATAAAAACTGTGTCAAATCGTTATGAGTAAATAATACAGGATATTTATTTGTTGGAACATGGTGTTTTGTCGTGTGTCTGCGCCCAATCCACAGCAAACCCCAAACAGAACTATTGATTTAAGGACCAAATCCCAGGGAATATCACTCATCTGCTCGTGGAGGCTTCCCTGGGCTGATGAACCATGTCGATACAGCAGATTTTTAGGTCTATTGAGTTCCATTGGGTTGAAGTAAGAGGTGAATCTGAATATTCCAGAATTCTGAATATTCTTTTTCTACTTTTTTCTTCTGAAGGGGATAACTAACAATGTAGCTAAATTGTACTAAAAGAATTAACTGGAATCAGTGGTTTAACCAAGATGGAGTTCAACCCAGGGGAGGCCATCAGGGTTCAAACCCAAGTTACTTCATCCTTTACCCCAGTTTCCCCATTTGAATTAGAAGTGTGTTTCCTTGTCAGGAAACAGGTCTTTAATGATCTCGTTTGGCTGGGCTTTTTATGTGTGTTGTAACTCCACCTTTTAGGCTTTGTTTTCCACCAGTAAGCATTTCCTGCAGTCATTTACCTCCAGGCAGGTAGCGGCTCAGCCACAGGGAGGCACGGTGAACTTGCTGGATTACACCGCTCCTCCGGAGCCCCGACCTTTATTTACACTAAGTTGCTAAACAGGCAAATACAAGACAAATCGCAGGCCAGGGAGCGGCTCTCTTGGCCCAGCCTGAAGCCCGGGCCCTGAACTCCAGCCACATCTTGTCTCCATCCCTGCTCCAGCGTATGGCGGGTTGGCGGCTGGAGAAGCGGCCCCGGGGTGGGAAGGCGGAGTGCGGAGGAGGGAAGGCTTCCCGCTCCCCCGTGGGGCACCCAGAGCCCTGGGCACAGAGGCTTCAGCCCGTTTCCTGAGGCAGGGCTTGGCTCCCGCCTCCAGGCCCAGCTCTGGGCTCACCCAGGCGGGAGCACCACCGGGCCAGGCCCCGGGGATCACCGCAGGCCGCAGCGAGGCCTCGGGGCTCCCCGTGCTCCCCTCCGGGCCTGGATCCCGCCTGGCTTCGGGGCTCCCAGTCCCTGGGACCGGGAATCGGCCCCCACCGCCGCCTCCTCCCCGCCCGTGGCGGTGGCGGCTCCGCGGGGCCCAGCAGGCGGCGGCCGCACTCCGGGGCCGCGCCCGTTGTTGTCGCCATGGCGACGCTTTGCGGCCCCTGTCTCCCCCCCTCCCGCCCTTACGTCGCCGCCGTGCGCTGCGTGGTGACGGTCGCCGCGTCGTGCCCGCTGATTGGCTAAATTTGAAGCGCCGCGAGCGCGCGAGGCTGCCGGTGGGAGGCGGCGGCGGAGCGGCGGCGGCACCGGCCACGATCGCGACAGACGGACCCCCCCGCACCCCACTCCCTCATCGCGACACCCCGCGATATGCAGCCGGCGTAAGTCCTTCCCCCTAGCCCCTACGCGGCGGTTGGGCCCGGGTCCGGCGGGCTACGGTTGGGCCTGGGTCCGCCCGGCCCGGTCCGGTCCGGTCTTACCGGGCCGCCCCTCACGCCTTCTCACAGTAGGGCCAAGAAGCCGCGGAGGCCGGCGCTGAAGAAGCCGTCCAACCCCAGCCTGAAGGATCCCGTAGGGGTGAGTGCGGGGGCGCCGGGCGAGGCGGGGCGGGCCGCGGTGAGGGGCCCGGGGGGGGGGCTCGGCCTCCGCCACCCTCCGGGGCTGCTCTGAGGGACGCCGGGCCCCGTGTCCCCCCTCTCCTCCCCCAGGTGTACTGCAGGGTGCGGCCGCTCGGCCGCCCGGACCAGGAGTGCTGCATCGAGGTGATCGACGAGACCACCGTGCAGATCCACCCGCCCGACGGATACAGGATATTCCGCAACGGGGAGTACCGGGAGGTAACGGCCTGCGGGGCGGCGGGGGGGTCCGGGCGTGTGCCCTCCTCCCTGGGGCAGCTGAAGGGGCTGCCTGCCAGCCTGGAATTAGGGATCGAGGTCCTTTTTCCGGCCGTCGCTGTTTTCCTCTGGTTTGCGGTGTCTCTTGCAGCCTGCAGATCAGTTTGTGCTTTTAGAAAAGCAAATTTTCCAAAACCAGAAAATTACTTAGAGGAAAAAAATGTCCCCTTGGCCATCTCTGTGTAAGAAACAGCTTCTTAGACTCATAGAATCATCTGGGTTGGAAGGGACCTTCAGGATCATCTAGTCCAACCATCAACCTAACTGAAAAAACCATCACTAACCCATCCCTGCCGTCGATGTTTTCCCCTGGTTTGCGGTGTCTCTTGCAGCCTTCGGATCAGCTGTTTGTGCTTTTAGAAAAGCAGATTTTCCAAAACCAGAAAACTACCTGGAGAAAAAAATTCCCCCTTGGCCATCTCTATGTAAGAAGTGGCTTCTTAGAATCATAAAATCATCTGGGTTGGAAGGTTCAGGATCATCTAGTCCAACCATCAACCTAACTGACAAAAACCCATCACTAAACCATGTCCCCCAGCACCATGTCAACCCGTCTTTTGAACACCTCCAGGGATGGTTTCCGGCCGTCGCTGTTTTCCTCTGGTTTGCGGTGTCTCTTGCAGCCTGCAGATCAGTTTGTGCTTTTAGAAAAGCAAATTTTCCAAAACCAGAAAATTACTTAGAGGAAAAAAATGTCCCCTTGGCCATCTCTGTGTAAGAAACAGCTTCTTAGACTCATAGAATCATCTGGGTTGGAAGGGACCTTCAGGATCATCTAGTCCAACCATCAACCTAACTGAAAAAACCATCACTAACCCATGTCCCCCAGCACCATGTCAACCCGTCTTTTGAACACCTCCAGGGATGGTGCTTCAACCACTTCCCTGGACAGCCCATTCCAAGGCTTGATAACCCTTTCAGTGTAAAAATTCTTCCTAATATCCAACCTGAACCTCCCCTGGCACAACTTGAGGCCATTTCCTCTAATCTGTGACTTGGAGAAGAGACCAACTTCCCTCTTCTGCAGGGAGAGGGCAAAAGGAGCAAAAGTGACGCTGGCAAATATTTAAACTGTTTGAAGGACTTTTTCATGTAGGACTAATTGAAAGGAAATCAGTTCTAAGCTAAGCCAGATACAAATTAATTAACTGGGTTGATTTACTTCAGACTTCAGTTGCATGAAAAGCAATGTCCACCTATTTATAGAACGAAGGGGAAGCTGTAGATGGTGTACACAAAGTGGTGAAATGCAGAATACTTTGTTTCCAAATTCAGTATGGAAAATTCTTATAGGAAGTACATAAAGAAACCTTCAAAGGCTTAAGTAAAATAGGTGAAGATTAGTTAAAAGTTTGGTAAACAAAGTTTTGCTCAAAAACTTAAAATTCAAATATTTACGCGAGCAGGTGTTTTGGTTGAAAAATGACTAGATTCATCAAAAAAAAAAGTATATTGAAAACCAGTGGCTGGAAACTGAGGCTAGACAGGAAAAGACACAAATTTAAACCAAAATGATTAAATATTCTAACAACCTGATTTTGGCCATTGTGGGTGTTACTTTGCTCAGTTCTTGTGTAGATGGTGGTGGAAGCTCAAGGAGAAATTTGAGCTTGAAGCTGGAAATGGGGATTCTCTCGTTGCTGGGAGGTCAGGCTTTGTGATGGTGCTGGTATTTCTGGACTTGGGCTCTGTAAAAATGAGACTGTTGCTGCTCTTTGTTGCTGTGTGAGCTGGTGCAGGAACAACCACTAAACCATGGATGAAAGGCAAAGAACAAATTTTAATCTTGACTAATCCCTGAAGCGACACCCCGGCAGAGGTGTGCAAGCAGAATCGTTACGTTGGAGTAACTGCCCCTGTTCAAACACTGATATAATCCTAAAGTAGAATCTTTATCGTCCTGGTAAGCAGATGGAAGGCAGTTCTGAGGTAGGAAACCATGAAGCATTTTGAAGCAACGGGCCTCTGGACAGGGATACTTAAGGTTTAGGACGATGTATCTTCTTTTCTCCAGACGCAGTACTCGTTTAAAGAGGTGTTTGGCACCCTTGTTGCTCAGAAAAAGCTTTTCGATGTGGTGGCTAAACCTCTAGTGGAAGATCTCATTCGTGGGAAAAATGGTGAGCTAGTTTTTGTTCCCTACTGCTTTTCTGTGTGTCTACTGTGGAGTTTCTTACATTGCTGTGTTTTTGTGTGTCTCGAGGTTTCTTAGCTCATCTAAGTAAAAAGGCATATAGCTGTTTATTTAAGAATAGCTGCCCTGTACAACATCCTGTTG